TTATCGACAAGAGAGTCTGATTTTTATCCTTGGTTAGGAATGTTCCCATTGTAAACCAACTTACCATATTTCTACTTATGTATGTCGTAACACGCCCACGAGAGGCTGCTGTTGAATTGACATGGAATGAGAGGCCCGAGTAGGAGGAAGGATTAAGGCTTGGGCGGAGTAATTAAAGTAACAAATATCACAGTTATTAAAGATGGTTAGGTTTAGTTAGGGACCTGGCTAACCTGGTCTTTGATTACGAGTACACATTTTGAACCGGGCACAATTTAAAACGCCCAACTGATATGTTTTGGTATGAGGAGTAGATAGATAATGAAACGATTGTTGATTCCTGAATTCTTTACGCATAGGTGAATGTTTCCGACAGCAAGATTCTTTCTTTTGGCCTAAATAAATCGTAGAACGCCAAGTGAGCTGCTGACTTAAATCGGTAGGGTTATTACAGGGAGGCTTAATGGTTAATTCGAAAACTCCCCCTAAGATTTACTGTTGATAGGGAGTGAATTGAATGATTTGTGGAGTTTTGATCTCGGGCACTGGTCGGCACCGTTACTGAATAATAAAAGAAAATGGGAGCTGTTGGGTATATGGTCTATACGTAATGTTAAATTCCTGTAGGTATAGTTTTAATTGTATTGTAGGCTGGTTTCATAGAGATGTGGCAAAAATTGTGCAAGCAGCCATTTATAATTGGAACGCATTTATTATCTTGAATCATACACAATACTTACCCATATCGTAAGCTTTAGAGTAAGTTTTGCTTAGTGTTAGTAGACAAATCTACCTGCTTAAAACTCTAACTTAAGGCATGATTAGACCTTATTGAACTGCAGAGGATTTCTGGACTGAATGTTCTTTAAGCTCAAAAGTTACGTTTAAGCAAGGCCTGACCTCAGGACTTTAGGAGTGGCCAGGGCGGGGGATACTGCGGAGGACCCTTGGCAGGCTTGTTTCTTCTGGATGAGCGTTAACACAACCTTACATGTGTGAATAACTGGTAGAACCATGGAGAAAAGGGACTGAAAAAGGTATCTGACAAACTATCTGACGTGATGCGAACCGACGAGCAAACGAAATACCGTGACTAACAGTAGGGAAAATGTGCTCTTAAGAGAGGAACCTGAAAAGGAGCTTTGATTGTGGTTTAAGCTTAAAGATAATATGTTGTATAATAACTACCCTATAATCGTTTACTTGATAGGCTTGGGATTGTAATTAACTGTATTATAAGATGCATATAGGTGTAACTTCTAAGACAGAAACAGATAGCATGACCGAAAGTCAATCCTGATGGACTTCTTTAACATAACTAATATAGTGAGATGTATGTTATATTTAAAATAGCGTAACAAATGACTGAGTGCGCATGGAGAACCTTGCGAATGTCAGGCGTGCCGAGACAAGTCCCTATTAACTGTTAAGGATTTGAATTGTATTCGTTTGTTCGTAATGAAGGACGAGTGATGCCTCGATGTCTGATATGAAACAAGTTGGAATTTTGGTTTACCCTGTCTTTATTAGATTGCTAATGCTTTAACCTGTATTGCCTTGTATTATTTACGTAGACGAGATAATTAGGCGACAGTATGCGTCAACGTATGGTAATTTAGAACTCACTGTACTGAAATGTCCCTAATGGGCTGCCAAGTAATAACAGTATATCTGTAATGAATAAATCTGGAAGCAGTCACTATATGTACATAAGCGTATTGAGGACCTGGCTATGATATAAATATGTACCACGTGTAAATGTAAAAGACAGCGTGTGGCCAACATACGTATTTAACGGAAAATATATGTAAGAATAATATGCCTGAAACAATTGTAGGAGGAAACCGCTGATCTTGGTTTCTACTACATTGATATGGGCACCTAGTTTATGTGGTATAAAAAGATCACAAAGTGAGTGACAAGTTGGGGAAACATGTATATTTGGTATCATCCTTGCACTGCTATATTTAATTATGTAGTAGACCCTTAGCCCGTACGTGATTGATGTATTAAAAGCATGGATTGCCTTGTGTGATAGTTCTGACATACTGTTGTATTATTGTAAGGATATATAAACTCACCATCAAAACTAAAGTTATAACGATGCACGAAATAATCCGCTAGGATACCTGATCTGATTATCAGATATGAAACATAGTGGGTATGCATGACGGGGTCTGCAGGTGCGGCCCCCCAAGTACTACGTGTGTGTGTGTGTGTGTGCTGACTGACTAGCTAGTGCCGCAATGTAGCAAAACAATTACTCTAGGTTGGTGACAGATGAGGCCCTGCTAATTGCCAAGTGGCTTGAGAGGCTCTATCTATGCGTTGGCACGAGGGGATAGCGTGGCCACTGAACGTTGTGCGGGGTGTCGACCTCTCGGTGACAGTTAAACATAAGACAGAATGGGAGTGACAGGTAAGGCTCTCTCTATGCCACAATGCGAGGCGACTAACTATGATTTTGCCCGAGGGGCGTAGTACCTCCGAGTATGAGGATGGGTGTTGGCCAGCGGAACCACTTAACTTAAGGCGCAGAAGCCAGGGGGAATGATAACTAGTGGACACCTAGGAACCTGACAGCCAGCCATTGCTACTTAAGAGGGAGAGAGGACATACCATGGGATGAAAACATGAGTGATACTGAAGTAGAATTGTAAGGCTGACCGTAACTGGAGTGCCCTGTGAGCGCGTTGGGTCCAGATGGTCAGTATGTATGAACTACAATGCGTGTATGTATGTATGGCCCTCAGGGCTCGTAAGTTTTTTTTTTTCTTCTTCTTCTTCTTCTTCTTCTCACCTCTACCACACTACTTTAGTCATGAATAGTATCCAATTAGCGGAATTTAGAAGCAGTGCAACGATTACAACCGTAATTTAAATGGTACTCATTGGAGATAATGTGCGGGTAATTTGATTTGTATCCTTACTTAACCCTTTCAACACACTTGTGAGATTTTGCAGATCAGGAATAGTTAAATTATCTAGCTGGACATGTGTTTTATTTGTACTTGGTTTCAACAATGTATTAGCCTTTAACCCAAACAGGGCATCCTCTGCTATTTCCAAACACCTGCCCTCTTTAATTCGAAACAGTGTTCCCGAGATATATATATATATATATATATTTTTATAAGATAACATTTTAACCGGAGTATCAGGCAATTCAGGTCTGAGATAGGTAAGTTAGTCATGTTGATGCTTGGTTATGGCAAGTGCGAGAAAGGTAAAGCATGGAGCAAACTGTGTTACAAGGGAATAACATAGATTAGTTAAGGTTGGGTACAGAGTAATAGATATTGACTTGCTTGGCCATCCTTCAGTGTAGACTAAAGTTAAATATGGTAACTAGCATGTTGTTAGAGTTTTTTGAGCGTAGTGCATGTACATAGAATGTGCGTTGAGAAGAAAGCCGCTTAGGTGATCTTATGCAATGTTGGTAATGGGGGGAACCCCGGGGTTGCCTCGACATTGTGTGGGGCGTACTCGATAGAGGCTCACTGCCAGAAAATCAACCATAATCACTGTCCCGCAGTTTTAGGGTTTGTGTGAGTGAATGCATGCTGATCATCAGCAAGTTTGTACAGTGGTTGGAGAAATGTCGATCTGAGTATAACACCGTTTCTAGTTTAGAATAGGTTGAGAAACCACCAGTACCATTATCCCTATCATGGGACTGCTACGTGTAGTGAGAGCATAAGAATGACAGTAACAGACATGATATTACAGGGGTTATTGTAGGGTGATACAGATTGTAAGGTATAAGCATGGGTTTAAGTTCACTTCCAAGAAAGACTGCCACATTGTTAAAGTGGGTGAACATAGTCACTCAGGTTAGACTTATGTAAAACATATCTTTTCTTCAAAGAACTGTTTTTTTTTTTGTTTTTTTTTTATATCTTACACATCCTGTATTAAATAATAAAAACATTCCTTGCTTTGTCTTAAAGGAGCAGTATATTCCAGTTTAAACTGCTGCCACTTTTCTACCAGTGCCCAGCGCAGTGTGTGGAAGGTGAGCAAAGTTACGGCTCTCCGCTGCTTGAACTCTAGTGTCCCGGTGACTTCACTGCCAGCCCCTGCCCTGCAGGCTCGGTTTGTCCGCCGGTGTGCGGCTGGTAGGGGGGGGGCAGCAGGGAGGCAGATACCGGGGCTAAGCCCGGAAGTATTCTCCGGTCCCCCGTACCGATCAAGCTGTGTGAGTGTTTAGCTGCTTCCCGGGGACTTTGTGAGGAGGTCCCGTCCGGTGGACTGACCTTTCACCTGTGATGTTTCATAGTAATACTATGTACAAACCTAATCATAAGGACATTCTGATTCCAGTGCTAACGCTAACCATCCCCAAGACTTCAACTGTAGACACCTGCAGAGTTCTATGTAAAAAAATTATCATTTATAAATGTAAAACACATTGTGAACCTTTTTAACATATATTGAATTGCTAACATGGAAATGTAACCCACACAATGCCATTTGTACATACTATACTCGTGAAGGAAGTACTCAACATATCTGTGCTTAAACCTTGTTTCTCTCGCGATGCCTAAGCGTGAGTGAGCACAGCATTATAATTGTTGATGTTACCCTAAATATTAAATCATGCAGAGGTAATTTGTATTTGTTTTTTACCCCAGCACAGAAAGGATTAAGATCTTGCAGGGCCCTGGGTAGGATACTAGGTTGGAGCCCCCCTTTTTCCATGTATAAGAATGCAATGTAGCTGATTACCACCTGTGTTGCAGTCTCATACGCGGCTATTCTCGCCAGTTACCTGGTGTTCTTTAGTTTGTGCACGTCTGTGTGAACAGAGGTTGGCGGGAAGCCGCAAGGAATGACGGGACCGGAAGTGCGATGCCTGTTGAGGACCCGGAAATTGGGAGGCGAGCAGGCCAGAACTTCCAGACGGCGATGATAGGTAAGCTGGGATTACTGGGGATTTAAATAGGAAAATAACCCCTCCCACAATTTCAGGCATACACCTTCCACATATGTGTGTGTGTCTGTGTATGTGTGTCAGTGTGTGTGTGCATGCGCGTATATATATATATATATATATATACACACACACACACACACACACACACACACACACACACACAGGTGTATATTATTTTTTTGGCAGGGTGGGAATCTTGGGAGAGGCTCTGCTCTAAGCCTCCATGGGCTGGCGGGGAGATCAAAGATCTACCTCACCGGCCTACAGTAGAAACATAGAATGTGACGGCAGATAAGAACCATTCGGCCCATCTAGTCTGCCCAATTTTCTAAATACTTTCATTAGTCCCTAGCCTTATCTTATAGTTAGGATAGCCTTATGCCTATCCCACGCATGCTTAAACTCCTTTACTGTGTTAACCTCTACCACTTCAGCTGGAAGGCTATTCCATGCATCCACTACCCTCTCAGTAAAGTAATACTTCCTGATATTATTTTAAACCTTTGTCCCTCTAATTTAAGACTATGTCCTCTTGTTGTGGTAGTTTTTCTTCTTTTAAATATAGTTTCCTCCTTTACTGTGTTGATTCCCTTTATATATTTAAATGTTTCTATCATATCCCCCCTGTCTCGTCTTTCCTCCAAGCTATACATGTTAAGATCCTTTAACCTTTCCTGGTAAGTTTTATCCCGCAATCCATGAACCAGTTTAGTAGCCCTTCTCTGAACCCTCTCTAAGGTATCAATATCCTTCTGAAGATAGGGTCTCCAGTACTGTGTACAATACTCCAAGTGAGGTCTCACCAGTGTTCTGTACAATAGCATGAGCACTTCCCTCTTTCTACTGCTAATACCTCTCCCTATACAACCAAGCATTCTGCTAGCATTTCCTGCTGCTCTATTACATTGTCTGCCTACCTTTAAGTCGTCAGATATAATCACCCCCTAAATCCCTTTCCTCATATGTTGAGGTTAGGACTCTTAAATATTCTGTACTCTGCCCTTGGGTTTTTACGTCCAAGATGCATTATCTTGCACTTATCCACATTAATTGTCAGTTGTAAACTCACGTGTAATAAATGACTCATTCATCCTTTTTCTCAACTGAGGTCCCTTTTTATAATTCCTAAATGCTAACTTTTTGTTTTTAACTATTTTGGCCACATCTGCGGAGTACCACAGTGGTTTCTTGAATTTTTTTGCTTTTACTGACAAGCCTAATGCAATTTTCTGTTGCCTTCAATAGTGTAACTTTTAAATAATCCCATTTCTCTTGGACTCTATTTAAAGTTTTGCTCCAGTCTGATAATGACTCCTCTACCCATATTCTAATTTTAGAAAAGTCTGTTGTGACAGATTCATCTGCATTGTTGGTTCGTCTGTTTCCCTTTGTTCGCGGAATTGCCTGTTCATATACCCCCGTTCGTGTATTTGCAAAATGCCGATTGAAACTACCGAACGAACGGCCACCCAGGAGAGGAGTGTGCTGCTGGTTAACCTCTTGGCCCCAATTAGAACGTTGTGGTTAACCGCAGACACCTCTCCATTCCATTCGTACGGGTGGTCGTCGTTCGCATGTCGACCACGAGGCAGCGGCCATTTTGGGACATACGAACACAGAGCGGTGTTCGGTACAAACTGTATGGACCTAAAAACGGACACTTAAACTACCGAACACCGCTGAAAAGCTCCTGCCTACCTTCCTTTTCGACAAGGCATGCGAACGTCGGTCGTTCGGGAGTTTTGTTCAGTCGTATGGACTTTTACCCCGACAGCCATCCCATGGAGTCATTCGTATCCCGAAGGACTGGTGAAAGACTTTGACTCCATGGCGATTCGACTAGATACATCGGATTTGAGCGCTATTCGGTGAAAACATGCCCTCAGATCCAGGCTGTCTGGGGATACGTTACACGAACCATATGCATTCGGTATTTCTGTAGTTGTGTATTTTAATGTCCTTTTGTCACTGTAATTTAAGATGGCGATGGTCTCTACCTTGGGAGATAATTAGGTTTCTTCACCAATTATCTCCAAGGTAAAGAAGACGGAATTATGGGCAAGATGGGAAGGGCTATTATTGAAGCCACTGCGATTGGCTACTGTACAATATGTGTTACAGTCTTCCACAAGGTCCCCTCGGGGAGTGTCCACCTTGTGGAGACCTGCATAAATACCGGGCAGGTAGCCCCCATTAAACAGATCTTCATTTGACCCTCAAGACGGAGCTTGGTCTCGTTTGTGGGGGGAATTATTATTGGGACAGCGCTTTCGTTATTTCTAGCTGTGGAAGGCGTTCGACTGTTTGGCTGATCGGGAGTTGCCGTGTTCGCGGACTTCGTTCGGGAGTTTGGCGATCGGCTGGATTTAAACCTGCATTTCTGGAGAAGGGGATTATTGCCTAAACGGCGGCTTCATCTACCCGACGGTACGTGTCGTAACAATTGGTGGCAAGCGACGGGATGAATCCTACAGCCCAGAAGGCCAGCTACACATCCCAGGTTGGAAATGCAGTATGAGGAATTAAGGCGTGCTACCCTTAAAGATATATTGGAACGCAGAGGACGATCAGCGAGTAATCTCAAGAAAAGAGAGATTATTTTCATACTATTGGAAATGGATGCAGCACAGGGAACGGGAAGAGCTGATGTGCCTGGCATACTGGAGTTAACACCCGAGGAGATACAGTTTAACCGGGCAGTTCAGATCAGGCTGGCACATTTTGGCCCCAACCCCGCAGCAGATATTGTGGTGCAAGTGCAAGCGGCAGTAGCAGCACAACAGGCGCTTCAAGGAAGAGGCGCTGCAGCAGCTGAGGTACCGTTTAATAATAATGGAAGGAGAAAAGTACCTTTTGCTGCATTTCGGAACTTTGTAGAAGCCGAAGGAGAAATTGATGGGTTCCTGGCGGACTTTGAAAGGCAATGTGCCTTGCACCAGGTACCCGCAGGAGAATGGGTCCCCATCCTCTCTGGGAAGTTATCCGGCCGGGCCAGTGAGGCGTTTCGGGCCATCCCAGAGGAGGAACTTACCAGCTACAGGGCAGTGAAAGATGCCCTTTTGGCCAGATACGCTGTGACCCCTGAGGCATACCGGCGGCGATTCCGGGACACTAACAAGCAGGCTGGTGATTCTTATGTTGAGTGGGCATGCCGAGTACACCGCACCGCAGCCCACTGGATGGCAGGGTGCCAAGCGGTAACTGGGGAAGAGGTGCTGCAAGTATTTTTGTTGGAGCACTGTTTTGACCGCTTACCTGTAGGAGTCAGAGAGTGGGTTAGGGACCGCAAACCCGCTACCTTGCCCGAAGCTGCTCGTCTGGCTGATGAGTACACTGATGCCAGGAAACTGGACCAGACAGCAGCCAAGGTCCCTACCCGAGTGGAGTACAAACCAGCAGCCCCTCCAACCTCTGCAGTGTATCAACACCCAGCACAACGCACCCCCACCATGCCAACAGCGAACAATTACGTTCAGCCAGCTCGATTCAACGCCCGAGATTATTCGCAGCCGATCCATTGCTATGGGTGTAAGCAGTTGGGGCACAAGCGACCCGAGTGCCCATTAAACAATTCGAACCAAGCACAGTCGTGGAGAAGACCAGCCGGCGGAAATCAGCAGCCACCCCCACCTTCCGCTCACTGTCTTGAGCAGGAGGAATTTTGGGGTATATTACACGAGGCGGATCCAGTACAAGCAGCGCAGCAGGATAACCGCCAACAGCACAGGCAGACCGTTAAACTAAATGGCAAAGCGGTAACTGGTCTGAGAGACACCGGAGCCACTATGACCTTGCTCCAGAAGAACCTTGTGTCCGAACACCAGCACACTGGAGATACTGTGGCAGTGAGGGTGGCGGGAGGTGCAGTGTTCCGCTTACCGGTTGCCCGGGTTCACTTGGATTGGGGGGTGGGCTCTGGACACGTGAATGTGGGGGTCATGAAAGACTTACCGGCCGATGTTTTGCTTGGGAATGACTTGGCCCCTTTGGTGTCCGCCTATGCTCCAATGGGACCTGCCGCTATCAACCCAGTGACTACCCGCGCCCAGACCCGTGCTGCTGGAACCAGCCCACCTGCTGCTGAGACCCAGGTAAGGACCGAGTCCCCGACTGGTACCCTAGGACCGACCTTTGTTAACTGGGACTCCCCAGAGGAGTTTGGGAGGGAAACTCAGACAGACTCGACCCTCCAGAAGTATAGGGACAGAGCGGATACTGGAGAGGAAGGATTAGATGGAGAACGGTATGAGTGGGTGGGGGACAGGTTATATAGGATCCCCAAGCTTTCCCCGAAGAGTGTTGCCCCTCCGCCGAATCGACAGCTGGTGGTGCCCGCGAAATACCGGCAGGAGATTCTGCGGATAGGGCATGATGTTCCGCTAGCTGGACATCTAGGTTCCCGCCGCACAGCCTATAGGATCATGCAGAACTTTTTTTGGCCAAACTTCAATCAGGCTGTGCGGACATACTGCAGTACGTGTGACACATGTCAACGGATAGGAAAGCGGGGGGACCACCCAAGAGCTAGGCTTATGTCTATGCCTATCATTGGGGAGCCCTTTGCCCGCATAGCCGTTGACATTGTGGGTCCACTGGCCAGGGCTAGTCCATCCGGGAAGAAATATATTCTCACCGTGGTGGATTATGCCACTCGCTATCCAGAGGCAGTAGCGCTGTCTAATATAGAGGCAGAGACAGTTGCTGATGCCCTGGTTAGGATTTTTACCAGAGTCGGGTTCCCTCAAGCGATTCTCTCTGACCAGGGAACCCAATTCACCGCTGTGCTCACCCAGCAACTGTGGAAGGTGTGCGGTATTAAACCGCTGCTTAGCTCACCTTACCATCCACAGACCAACGGTCTCTGCGAGCGATTTAATGGCACCCTCAAACAGATGCTGAGGACCTTTTCTGACACTTGCAGAGACTGGGAGCGATTCCTGCCTCATCTGTTGTTTGCCTACAGAGAGGTGCCTCAGAAATCTACTGGGTTCTCCCCCTTTGAGTTGCTATATGGGAGAAGGGTCCGCGGACCCCTAGATCTCATTAGAGGCCACTGGGAGGGGGAGACAGAGCAGGAAGGGACCCCCATCGTGCCGTATGTTCTGGAACTCCGGGACCGCATGGAGAAACTGTCCCTAATGGTAAGGGAGAATCTCCAGGTGGCTCAGGGGAGACAGAAGAGGTGGTACGATCGGGGTGCCCGACAGCGAGTTTTCCAGGTTGGGCAGAAGGTACTAGTGCTCAAACCTGTGAAGGCGAACAAGATGCAGGCATCTTGGCAGGGCCAGTATAAGGTGTTAGCACAGATATGTGATACTACCTACCTTATAGCCAGCTGTTCAGATGAAAGGATCCAGCGATCCTTCCATGTGAACATGCTAAAGGAGTATCAGGAGAGACCGGAGAATGTCGCTGCAGTATGTGCCCCTGCTGCAGATGATACAGAAAGTTTACCCTTGCCAGACCTGTTAGAGAGGGACCCCCAGACGGATCTTACTAGCCTAGTAAAGCTAGGGGACAGATTGAGCGCTACCGAGAAGCGCCAGGCAAGACGACAGCTTTTGTCGGAGAAGCAGGCGACCTTCTCCCAAGAACCTGGTTACACTACCCTAGCTGTACACAAGGTAGAAACCCCTGGACAGAAACCCCTGCGACAACCCCCTTACCGTATCCCTGAAGCAGTCCGGGAAGGAATGCGGAAGGAGATACAGGAGATGACCCAGCTGGGGGTCATCGAACACTCCGATAGCCCTTGGGCCTCGCCTGTAGTCCTGGTGCCCAAGAAGGATGGGACCACCCGGCTCTGTGTGGACTACAGGCGTCTCAATGAGCGGACCACCACTGACGCCTACCCGATGCCCCGGGTAGATGAATTGTTAGATCGCATTGCCAGGGGATGCTATCTGACCACCATAGACCTGTGCAAAGGCTACTGGCAGATTCCCCTGGCCGAGGATGCTATCCCCAAGTCGGCCTTCGTCACCCCATTTGGCCTGTACCAATTTAAGGTCATGCCATTTGGGATGAAGAATGCCCCGGCTACCTTCCAGCGTATGGTGAATAGACTTCTTGATGGATTCCAGGAATTTGCTTGTGCATACC